GTCACTGAGGGCGGCAGGATTATCTCATAACTACACATGCAAAAGACTTGTCATCTCCATCCTAGTTTACACATTCATATACCAGTTGATATCATACACCTGACATCAGGTGATAACATATGTGTTATCATACACCATACACTTAGCCGTGGAATACGATGATACTAAATACTTGACAAGGATTTGAACGCTATACATATGTAATAGTAAAGCCAATTACAGATGAATTTTGCTGAGGTAAGTTTGTGGTGATTGTAAGAGGGTAATGTTGAGACCCCCAGCCTCGACCCCCAGTCCCGACCCCCTCAGCCTCGACCCCCCAGCCTCAGAGGGCTCTGTGGCTGGGGCACTTCTGCCACGCCTTTGTCAGCAGAGAGATGTGTTTGAGAAGCACAAGAAGGTGAGAGGAAGGGTAGGGAGGGAGAGAGGTGGAAGGAGGGAGAGAGAGAGAGAGGGTGAGGGTAAGGGGGAGAGAGAGAGAGAGAGGGTAAGGGAGAGAGAGATAGAATTAGTGCAAGAGCGGGTATATATAAATGCGTGTGTGTGCGTTAGCGAGCTTGGAACAGACCACCTTTCATCCAGCCAGCTAGACAGGTCAGGGGCGACAAGATGTCTGGCCCAACTCTCTCCCCCCCCCCTCCCACCCCAGTACCTTCTTCCTCCCCCCTTCCCAGGTCCTTCACCCCTCTCCCCACACCCCAGTACCTTTTCCCCCCGTCCCCAACCCCACCCGGGCAGTGTACAGGTGTGTGAGGCAGCCCAGGGGCAGTGTACAGGTGTGTGAGGCAGCCCAGGGCAGTGTACAGGTGTGTGAGGCAGCCCAGAGGCAGTGTACAGGTGTGTGAGGCAGCCCGGGGCAGTGTACAGGTGTGTGAGGCAGCCCAGAGGCAGTATACAGGTGTGTGAGGCAGTCCAGAGGCAGTGTACAGGTGTGTGAGGCAGCCCGGGGCAGTGTACAGGTGTGTGAGGCAGTCCAGAGGCAGTGAACAGGTGTGGGAGGCAGCCCAGAGGCAGTGAACAGGTGTGTGAGGCAGCCCAGAGGCAGTGTACAGGTGTGTGAGGCAGCCCAGAGGCAGTGTACAGGTGTGTGAGGTAGCCCAGAGGCAGTGTACAGGTGTGTGAGGCAGCCCAGAGGCAGTGTATAGGTGTGTGAGGCAGCCCAGAGGCAGTGTACAGGTGTGTGAGGCAGCCCAGAGGCAGCCCAGAGGCAGTGTATAGGTGTGTGAGGCAGCCCAGAGGCAGTGTACAGGTGTGTGAGGCAGCCCAGAGGCAGTGTACAGGTGTGTGAGGCAGCCCAGAGGCAGTGTACAGGTGTGTGAGGTAGCCCAGAGGCAGTGTACAGGTGTGTGCGGCAGCCCAGAGGCAGTGTATAGGTGTGTGAGGCAGCCCAGAGGCAGTGTACAGGTGTGTGAGGCAGCCCAGAGGCAGTGTACAGGTGTGTGAGGCAGCCCAGAGGCAGTGTATAGGTGTGTGAGGCAGCCCAGAGGCAGTGTACAGGTGTGTGAGGCAGCCCAGAGGCAGTGTACAGGTGTGTGAGGCAGCCCAGAGGCAGTGTACAGGTGTGTGAGGCAGCCCAGAGGCAGTGTACAGGTGTGTGCGGCAGCCCAGAGGCAGTGTACAGGTGTGTGCGGCAGCCCAGGGACAGTGTACAGGTGTGTGAGGCAGCCCAGAGGCAGTGTACAGCTGTGTGCGGCAGCCCAGAGGCAGTGTACAGGTGTGTGAGGCAGCCCGGGGCAGTGTACAGGTGTGTGAGGCAGCCCAGAGGCAGTGTACAGGTGTGTGAGGCAGCCCGGGGCAGTGTACAGGTGTGCGAGGCAGCCCAGGGACAGTGTACAGGTGTGTGCGGCAGCCCAGAGACAGTGTACAGGTGTGTGCGGCAGCCCAGGGACAGTGTACAGGTGTGTGCGGCAGCCCAGGGACAGTGTACAGGTGTGTGAGGCAGCCCAGGGCAGTGTACAGGTGTGCGAGGCAGCCCAGGGCAGTGTACAGGTGTGCGAGGCAGCCCAGGGCAGTGTACAGGTGTGCGAGGCAGCCCAGGGCAGTGTAAAGGTGTGCGAGGCAGCCCAGGGCAGTGTACAGGTGTGCGAGGCAGCCCAGGGCAGTGTACAGGTGTGCGAGGCAGCCCAGGGCAGTGTACAGGTGTGCGAGGCAGCCCAAGGCAGTGTACTGGTCTGATGCTGCAAGAGAGTGACTGTCCAACCCCAATAGTGTCCAATATACCACATATATACTTACTAATAAGCCAAATATTGACTATAAGCAATAAATCATATATGTACTATCTTGTGCGAGAGCGGGATGCACTGTCGCCCGTAAGGGTTCTTGAAGATGGTGTTTGGTGGGGGTTGAGCGGGTCTCCTTCGGGTCTCCTTACCTTTGGTCACCTGAGGCGACCAAAGGTAAGGAGACGTTGGCGTTGTTTACCACGAAGGGGGAGAGTGACCCCTGCTAAGAGTGCCGGCCACCGAGGTCACTCACCACCTGACACTCCTCAGTATGTCTTCCCACCTCCCCTTGATGTGCTACACTTCTCCTTGATGTGCTACACTTCTCCTTGATGTGCTACACCTCCCCTTGATGTGCTACACTTCTCCTTGATGTGCTACACTTCTCCTTGATGTGCTACACTTCTCCTTGATGTGCTACACTTCTCCTTGATGTGCTACACTTCTCCTTGATGTGCTACACTTCTCCTTGATGTGCTACACCTCCCCTTGATGTGCTACACTTCTCCTTGATGTGCTACACTTCTCCTTGATGTGCTACACCTCTCCTTGATGTGCTACACCTCCCCATGATGTGCTACACCTCCCCATGATGTGCTACACCTCCCCATGATGTGCTACACCTCACCGTGATGTACTACACCTCTCCATGATGTACTACACCTCCCCATGATGTGCTACACCTCCCCATGATGTGCTACACCTCCCCATGATGTGCTACACCTCCCCATGATGTGCTACACCTTCCCATGATGTGCTACACTTCTCCTTGATGTGCTACACTTCTCCTTGATGTGCTACACTTCCCTTTGATGTGCTACACTTCCCCTTGATGTGCTACACCTCCCCATGATGTGCTACACCTCCCCATGATGTGCTACACCTCCCCATGATGTGCTACACTTCCCCTTGATGTGCTACACCTCACCGTGATGTACTACACCTCTCCATGATGTACTACACCTCCCCATGATGTGCTACACCTCCCCATGTTGTGCTACACCTCACCATGATGTGCTACACCTCCCCATGATGTGCTACACCTCCCCATGATGTGCTACACCTCACCATGATGTGCTACACCTCCCCATGATGTGCTACACCTCACCATGATGTGCTACACCTCCCCATGATGTGCTACACCTCACCATGATGTGCTACACCTCCCCATGATGTGCTACACCTCACCATGATGTGCTACACCTCACCATGATGTGCTACACCTCCCCATGATGTGCTACACCTCACCATGATGTGCTACACCTCCCCATGATGTGCTACACCTCCCCATGATGTGCTACACCTCCCCATGATGTGCTACACCTCCCCATGATGTGCTACACCTCCCCATGATGTGCTACACCTCACCATGATGTGCTACACCTCACCATGATGTGCTACACCTCACCATGATGTGCTACACCTTCCCATGTTGTGCTACACCTCACCATGATGTGCTACACCTCACCATGATGTGCTACACCTCACCATGATGTGCTACACCTCACCATGATGTGCTACACCTCCCCATGATGTGCTACACCTCCCCATGATGTGCTACACCTCACCATGATGTGCTACACCTCACCATGATGTGCTACACCTCCCCATGATGTGCTACACCTCACCATGATGTGCTACACCTCACCATGATGTGCTACACCTACACCTCACCATGATGTGCTACACCTCCCCATGATGTGCTACACCTCCCCATGATGTGCTACACCTCCCCATGATGTGCTACACCTCCCCATGATGTGCTACACCTCCCCATGATGTGCTACACCTCCCCATGATGTGCTACACCTCCCCATGATGTGCTACACCTCCCCATGATGTGCTACACCTCCCCATGATGTGCTACACCTCCCCATGATGTGCTACACCTCCCCATGATGTGCTACACCTCCCCATGATGTGCTACACCTCCCCATGATGTGCTACACCTTCCCATGATGTGCTACACCTTCCCATGATGTGCTACACCTTCCCATGATGTGCTACACCTTCCCATGATGTGCTACACCTCCCCATGATGTGCTACACCTCCCCATGATGTGCTACACCTCCCCATGATGTGCTACACCTCACCCTGATGAGCTTCACAAATGTCCTCACACAACTAATATTTACTGTGACAATAATGGATCACATATAACTTACCCGTGATAATAATTGGTCAATAATGCTTATGTTGTCATGACCTTAAGATGTCTTATGCTACTAATGAAGTACAATATTGAGGTGTGTTTATGCGAGATGCAGTACACGTGGTGTGTTGGTCTCTGTAGACAACCTGACCACTATTGTGTACACAGCACTCTTCAACCCGTTCTCGCACTTTCTTACAGTCAATATTGACTTATTAAATATGTGCATATGTGACATACTAAACATACTAGTTTACCTCGAAAAGCTTCATAGAAAACACCGACCTTTCCTAACCTTCTTAGTATGTTAAGATAAGCATCTTATTGCTTCGTAATTACAATTATTACTTAATCTATTATAGGTATAGGTTAAGTAATAATTGTAATTACGAAGCAATAAGATGCTTATCTTAACATACTAAGAAGGTTAGGAAAGGTCGGTGTTTTCTATGAAGCTTAACAAGGTAAACTAGTATGTTTAGTATGTCACATATGCACGTATTTAATAAGTCAATATTGACTCTAAGAAAGTGCGAGAACGGGTTGCACTCTTAGTTCTGTCTGTGCCCCGGCGTGTACCCTCTGGATCACTACTCTTGCGAATCGCGTTGAAGTCACTCACCTGGGCCACGAGGAATAGCGTCAAAAACATGGAGAAAATCATGGCCGCTGAAGTGAATGCTAGAATCTCTTCTGCGAGTTTAAATCCCCTTCTGTGTGAGATGCGAGTTCTTTTCTATGTGTTTTGGCTTTTGTTTTCCAGTCTTGAATCCCTGTCAGTGGATGAGAGGCGGTGTATGAGACGCCAGTACTAAGGTCTGGCAGGGGCGGGAGATCACACTTTAGAGAGCTGGCTGTCCCGATGTTGTCGCTGCCGAATCTGGCGGCGGAGTGAGCTACTCTTGCTCTCTTGCCTCCGACCTAATGTCGTGATGACGTCACTTCCCCCACTCTCCCGTGACGTCACCACATCCCTTACATCATCCACACTTGTGACGTCACGTGTACATTTGTGGTCGCTCGAGCGTGATGAAGCATTTTGTTAATGGATCGTTGAGCGGGAAGAGCGGGTGGTGGAGGTGCGAGTTGTGGTGCTGAGGTGTAACGTGAGGTGCAGACTCACCTAGTAGTGTGTGTGTAGTCACCTAGTTGTGCTTGCGGGGGTTGAGCTCTGGCTCTTTGGTCCCGCCTCTCAACTGTCAATCAACTGGTGTACAGATTCCTGAACCTATTGGGCTCTGTCATATCTACACTTGAAGCTGTGTGTCAGCCAGTCACCACATCACTGCCTAATACATTCCATTTGTCTACAATTCTGACACTGAAAAAATTCTTTCTAACGTCTCTATGGCTCATTTGGGCACTCAATTTCCACTTAAACAGAGGCTACAGTTAAGGATTTTGGCCCAGTAAATCCTCCCCGGCCAGGATACGAACCCAGGACAAAGCGCTTGCGGAACGCCAGGCGAGTGTCTTAACCGCCACACCACGGAGACTGCACACACTGTGTGTGTGTGTGTGTACTCACATATTTGTGTCTGTAGGATCGAGCGTTGGCTCTTGAATCCCGCCTTTCTAGTCTTCGGTTGTTTAATGCAATGACGCCTTGTCCTACTTCTCTGTCATATCTAGTTTTAAGGCTATGAGTTGTGTTTGCTTCCACAATGTGCTCCTTTACTCCATTCCATTTTTCCACTACTCTCACGCTAAAAGAAGACTTCCTAACATCTCTATGACTCATCTGAGTTTCCAGCTTCCACCCGTGTCCCCTCGTTCTGTTGGTATTACGTGTGAACATTTCGTCTATTTCCACTCAGTCAATCCCAAATACAATCAATGCAAAGTATTTTGTATGCTGCTATCATATCTCCCCGCTCCCTCCTTTTTTTCTAACGTCGTCAGGTTAAGTTCTTTCTGTCGCTCTTCATATCTCATCCCATGCAACTCCGGGACTAGCCTCGTCGCAAATTTGTGAACCTTTTGCATTTTCCTAATGTATTTCTTTGGGTGGGGGGCTCCATGATGGTGCTGCATACTCTAAGACTGGTCTCATATAGGCAGTGCAAAGCGCTCCGAATGCCTCCTTACTTAGGTTTCTGAATGACGTTCTAACTTTTGCTAGCGTAGAGTACGCTGCTGTCGTTATCCGATTGATATGTACGTCAGGAGTTAGATTTGGTGTTAAGTCCACTCCAGGTCTCTTTCTCGACATTGTGTGTGTGTATTCACCTAGTTATGTTTGCGGGAGTTGAGTACTGCCCTTTCGGCTCGCCTCTCAACTGTCAATCAACTGTTACTAACAACTATTTTTTTATTTCTTTTTCTCCACACACACACACCCAAGAAGCAGCTCCGTAACAGCTATCTCCCAGATGCCTATTTATTGCTAGGTAACAGGTGCATCAGGGTGAAAGAAACTCTGCCCATTTGTCTCTGCCTAGTCTGGGAATCGAACCCGGGCCACAGGAATACGAGCCCCGTGCGTTGTCCACTCAGCTACCAGAGCCCCCTCTGTGTGTGTGTGTGTGTGTGTGTGTGTGTGTGTGTGTGTGTGTGTGTGTGTGTGTGTGTGTGTGTGTGTGTGTGTGTGTGTGTAAGGGTTTTCCAAGACAGGAGAGGAAATGTGTAACCAGAGAGTTATGTTGTTGGCGACAGGTGGCAGCCCAGGCGTCACGCGCGGGGTCCCTATGGGTGGGTGTTCTTGGTAACGCCGCCACAATGGCCGGGTTCTCCCAACCTGTCCTCATGCTATGCTTGTCTAAGGCCAGATTCACGAAGCACCTACGCCAGCACTTACGAACCTGTACATCTTTTCTCAATCTTTGGCGGCTTTGTTTACAATTATTAAACAGTTAATGAGCTCCGAAGCACCAGGAGGCTGTTTATAACAATAGCAACAATTGAATGGGAAGTTTTCATGCTTGTAAACTATTTAATAAATGTAACCAAAGCCGTCAAAGATTGAGGAAAGATGTACACGTTCGTAAGTGCTTGCGTAAGTCCTTTCGTGAATCTGGCCCTTGAGCTGCAGTACAGCCCAGCCCAAAGGCGTATTCGTCCATTTGCACGTTCTGTGTGACCAATAACGGTATTTTCTCTAATATAAATAATTGCGTTTTAATTTGGTGTATAATTAGACCTAGAATAGTTTGAATTTAGTGTTTTTGATCTATTAGGTTTATTTGTATAATTAATAGTCTCCGTGGTGTAGTGGTAAGACACTCGCCTGGCGTTCCACGAGCGCTTTGTCATGGGTTCGTATCCTGGCCGGGGAGGATGTACTGGGCGCAAATCCTTAACTGTAGCCTCTGTTTAACTCAACAGTAAAATGTGTACTTGGTTGTAACAACGATTCTTCGCGGCGGGGATCGTATTCCAGGGACCTGCCCGAAACGCTACGCGTACTAGTGGCTGTACAAGAATGTAACAACTCTTGTATATATCTCAAAAAAAAATGGATGAAGTTTTTAGAGTCAAACCGGAAGGGACGTGGCATTGTGCTCCGTCCCTAAGCAGTGAAGCTCTTTTAGTGTATCTACAGTTAATCCTCAAAGAATAGTTTATCTGCTCAGTAATACAACAGATGCAGCTTAACCTGTTTTAAATACCAAACAGCACGAATCACAACTCATTACAACCCGTCCTCGACTAGCCTGTGCCTATATATACACAATATGCCAATATATTATAATATTAATTTATACTTGAGAAAATTCCCGTTTTGAATGAACAGCATGTTAAAATTTATGAATGCGTCTGTGGGGTCGACCGCTGGATGGAATGGACTTGAGTCGAGGACGGATGGTATTCATAAATTTTAACATGTTCATTTAAAACCGGAATTTTCTCAAATATAAATTAATATTATAACATATCAGCATATTGTGCATATAGGCATAGGTTTGGTTAGGTTAGGTGTTTAGGTTCTGTTGGCGATTATTTGTATTTGTAGTACGTGGGTGAAGCATTTATAGCGTTGTGATTCGAACAAAATTCGTCAGTGAAGCACTTGATCCGGATATGTTCGAACGTCAGCAGTTGTGAGTCGTGTGTAAACCGTTTTTCATTCATAAACAGAAAGGGTTTGGCAAATGCATGGAATCACTTTCAGGTCTTCGTTTGGAGAACAGGCTGGACCCGAACCACTGGTTCCATTCCCTTCCTGCTCCAAACATTGTCTTACCTCTCTAAATGTTTCCAGCCCGTCCTAATAATCATTGGCCAAATGCTCATTAAACCAGCCGCGAAATCCTTTGCGAATAATTGTTTTCTGCACATAACTTACTACTGACACACAACTTGTAACTTTTCTCGAGCACGGCTTCGTTCACTTCCTATGCTTCATCCACACACTGCACACGCAATAACTAACAACAGAACCAGAACACCCAAGTTCATCTACCATAAGGTTAACTGTGCATAAAACATATAATTATATATATATATATTTATATATGATAAAATATGACATTTGTTGTAGAGTACGAAACTATTTACGAATATGGCTTTGAGGCCGGCCATAGCTTGGACAAGCAGAGTCAGAGGCCGGCCACGGACGAGCATAGTCAGAGGCCGGCCACGGACGAGCATAGTCAGAGGCCGGCCACAGCTTGGATGAGCACAGTCAGAGGCTGGCCACATAGAGGACAGGTTTCTATCTATCTTATCACAAGAGGGACTCAGTAATCCACACCCAGCTGGAGTTGGGAGAGAGTGGCTCCTGTGTTTGGTATATCCGATGATGACATATCTGTGTGAAGAACTCTCCCTGGTGTTGGGAGAGAGTGGCTCCTGTGTTTGGTATATCCGATGATGACATATCTGTGTGAAGAACTCTCCCTGGTGTTGCTGCGAGTCGTCACGATTCCTGAGGTACACAGCGGCTCTTGTTGACATTGTCACCATTACTGATGCAATCACCTTTACTATTCATTGTCTACCAATATTATTATGGAATTATACGTGTATTATTGCAGGCGATGAGTCACAATAACGTGGCTAGAGTATGTTGACCAGACCACACACTAGAAGGTGGACGACGACGGTCCGTTTTGGATCATTCTCAAGTCGATAGACAATCGACTTGAGAATGGTCCAAGACGGACCGAAGCGTCGTCGTCCCTTCACCTTCTAGTGTGTGGTCTGGTCAACACGTGTATTATTGGTTATTATTACTATTAGCCAGCTAACATGAATGGTGGATGTGGTGGTGTTAGTGTCTTGACCCCGCCCACCGTCAGGCGCCCACGCCCACACTCACCAACCAGTTCTCATGAACACTACGTCGCATTTTGACGTATAACTTCCCTAAGGCCAAAAAATAATGTGCTAAAAACGATAGCTGCTGGCGAAATTGACGTTTTCTGTTCTTGGATCCTCGGGTAGGTTAGATTAATACAACTGTTTAGTGACGTTGGGGACCCTGGGTGGCGGGGGGGGAGGGGGTGAATGCCCCCCCGGGGTGCGCCCCCACGCCCCCCTCACCACGGAAGTAAGCAATATTCTAGTGATGATAACTATTCGATGCTCATTTGCTCATTTATCATCAATAACAAATATATATATTACAGTGCATGGGATGACGTCATGCGGGTTGCCTACACGTGAGTCAGTCTTTTTAGGGGAAAAAACTGCTTACTCAACCTTTCAAAGAAACAATTGCTGATAGATTTTTTCCACAACATAAATATCTTGAATTTATCATTTTTTGTTTTGTTTAGGTCCTTCGCGCATGTTATTAGATGGGTTACCCTGCTCTGCCCGGGTCTCTCCCCCCCTTCCCACTCTCTCTTCCAATCTCCCTCCTCTCTCACCTCTCCCCTATCTCCTTCCATCTCTTTCTTCCCCTCTCAACTTCCCCCCTCCCATCTTTCCGTCTTTCTCTTTCGACATTCCAGAACATG